GATTAAAGACGAATGATAAGATAGAAATGTATGTTATTTTAGAATAGATAATGTATATAAAATTTAATGTATATGTAGAGATAATGAATTGATTGTTAAATATGATATAATCTGATAAGAATGTATATACTGGAATGTCACGTCAAATCCAATGTTTGTTTGTTTGTTTTTTAATTGTTTTATAAATAAAAAGTTTAAATAAAAAAAAAAAAAAAAAAATTGACTTCTAAGTCCATTGTTCAAATATGTCTCCAAACTTAAATCTTGACTATTGCAATGCGCTCTACATGGGGCTGCCCTTGAAAAGCAACTAGAAGCTCCAGTTGGTCCAAAATGCAGGGGGCCACATGGTTTTGTGCAGACTGTGGTGTGTACATGTGTCACTTCTCCCACGGGAGCTGCATTGGTTGCCTATTTGCTTCCAGGTGCAATTCAAGGTGCTGATTGTCATCTTTAAAGCCCTTCATGGCTTCAGACCAGGTTGTCTGGAGGCTGTCTCTCGCCGGTCACATCCACCCGACCCACTAGAGTGGGAAGGCAAGGAATGCTGCAGGTCCCATCTCCCAAAAAGGTACATCTGGCAGGACCCAGAAGAAGGCCTTCTCCGTAGTGGCTCCCTCCCTCTGGAACATCAACCCTCTGGAAATTAGACTGCCCCCCACTGTCTTTTGCAAGGCCCTGAAAACATAGTTTTGTTAGTGGGCCTGGGGAACCCAGAGTGGAATGGAACCCATTAAAAGTTGATTTGAGTATGTGTTGTTGCTGGGGGGGGGGTGTTATTTCATTATTATTTTATTATTTTTTATTTTTATTATTTTTGTATTTTCTATACTGTGTTTTTATTATTTGCAAGCCACCTAGAGTCACTGTGCGCAAGTAAATGGCTATATAAAGTATCTTAAATAAATAAATAAATAAATAAATAAATAAATAAATAAATAAATAAATAAATAAATAAATATTGCTCCTATTTGTGTAAGTCAAAATTTTAACTGCTCTTCTTTGCTTGTAATCTTTAGTTTCTTCTGCTTCCCCCTAGAGTCCAGCCTTCAAAAGTCTACTGTAGTTGTTTTAAGAGTTTAAAACAGCAGCATTTTCTCTTAGGAAGGATTCTTATAATTAATGTCAAAATCTTATCTGGACCCTTAATCCATTTGTAACTTTCCAAAATCAACATTCTAATTGCCCTTTTGTTGTTTATTTCATTAAAAAAAATACAATTATATTTAAAGCTTCTCTCACGAAGGTTTGAAGAAAACTCACCAGGTAGTTTCTGAAACTTGTTGATCAAAAGTTCCTAATAGCTGAAAAGCAATTGACAATAGTAATTTTCCAAAGAAAAATCTAAGACTCTAAAGGTTATATTTAGTTAGTATCACTCTGCTTTTAAAAGATCAGTTCATTGATAGATTGGTTATAGGTATGATTTTGGAAACTGATTAGAAAAGGAAATATGTGAACCCAGTGTCCTTTTGAAGGGCACTGACTGTGGTTCGAATGAAAATGGCTTTCTTTTATCTCCCAGAGCTATAAATCCACTGGAGACCGCTATCTTGCTGTCTCCTCATGAAGAGCAACTATCTGCAGAACTTGTGGGCAGTCTCAATTTCTCTCCTTGTCTGGAGAGAAATTACAAAAAGCCAGTCTACTCTCTGGCTCTTCATTCCACTATAGTCAGCAGCTCCACTTTTAGCAGAAGTTTCTTCAGTTCACTATTTCTTCTCCAGAAGATGGGCAATTTGCTATCATAGATAGATTTAATGTGTTTCCACCTCTTTGGAACAGAATAAAATTGCCAGAATTGTGCAAGGAGAGATCAACAAAAATCATACCTGTAACTAATCTAGCAACAAAGTGGTATTTTATAAATGGAGTGATACCAATTAAAAATAAACCCTAGAGCCTTAGGATGCTTCTTTTGGATTACTAAAGTACTAAATTAGCACTGTGACAAATCTTTTGAGGTAATAAATTGGCATTAACTTGTTGAATTGTAATTAATTCTATGGTTGAGGAAAAAAAATCATATGTCTGTATGAGTAATGAATTATTCAGTTTAACAAACTTATTGAAAATTCTGTAATTTGAAGCAAGGAAGATAGTATTGCTTTTTTTTTTTGTTCTATCGCATTACTTGTTGCCTGCTTTCTGAATATTTAGGAAAGCAACTGAAAAAAATAATAGGTATGTCATGTTTCTTGTTAACAAAATGTTTGTTTCTTGTTAACAAAATACTATACATCTCTATCTGCAGCAGGATTTTCACAAATCAAAAATAATGCATTAACCAATATTTGTATATAGACATTCAGTGTAGAACAGGTAGTTCTCATTTAGCAACCATAATTGGGACCAGCAACTCAGTCAGTAAGTGACAGATCACAAAGTGTAAAATCAAAAGACTATGAATCTGGTTACAATTTTACTTCATTTTTCCTTTTTTCCCCACTCCCTGCTCATTTAATGTTCACCATGGTTCTGGAATAATTAGCAAGAAGTGAATTAATGTTTATCTTTACACTGATTGGAGAGGAAGGGATTACAAGAGAGCAAGTAGGCACATAGTGGTAAATACTACATAGCAATATGCTGGCTATCAATAGGCTTCTCACAGGAGTTCCTTAGGAGGCAAACAAAATCCAAAGACGTGAAAGAGATGCATGGAGGCCAATTAAAGTCACAGAATTGAGCTTGTTAACTTATAACTTAGAACCTTGGGGAGAAGCACTGTGCTGCTGTGGAGAAAAGCAGCTCAGGAAAGAGATTGGTTAAGTAATCTCTGCTCTGGTGGGGGCAGAGAAAAATGGGTCAGGCACAGAACAATGGGTACTAATTGACTTTAATGGCAAACACAAGACTAAGGGAGGCAAACACATCACTGAAATGGGGATACTGTGAAAGGACATAAATGGGCATTGGTTGCAAAGTTATTTCCAAGTTTGTAAATATGGGAACTGGTTGCAAAGTAACTTTGAATGGTTGCTGTCCAAGGTATTTGTTTAGTGAGGTATCCCACCCACCAGTCATTCCTGATCTCAAGGTAAATATAATAGAACATTACAAAGGACAATTGCATTGTGCAATAGTTGACCTAGAATTCATTAGAAATTCAGTACCATTTCTTAGAAATTAACAGAAATGAATTGTTCTTACTAGAGCACATACTGTATATTAAGCACTATAGAAGAATGCCTTAGTGTTTGTTCTCAAAATTCAAGAATGTCTTAGTGAATATGTATTGTCTATGTAGGTGCACATGCATACACAAACACATAGATATTGCTCTTTCCCCACCCCATTCTCAGGATTGTATTTCATGCATCTAGTGAAATGAATTATGATAGATGATATCTTACACTAAAGCAAATGGTTAATCTTTAAAGTGCCACAAGACAGTTTGTGAAGTTTCATAGTATTCTAAGATATTTATTCTAAAACAACTGAATCTTCCAAACATTTAAGAATATGTAATATATTTATAATTTATAAACTGAGAGGTAATAAAAATATGTAATCTTAAATATTTCATATTAACAGGGCATGCTATTTTTTGCAGAAATAAGGAAAAAGTTAGTATCAAAAATATTCTATTTTAAGTAGAATATTTTTGATAGCAACTTAAGCATTCTTCTGTAGCATAAATTGATTACTTTTAAAATTTATCACATGATTTTAATACAGTAACAATCAAATTCATGCAACTTACTCCTACAGGCTGAAAAATTAGTCCGTCCACTTCATGAGAGACTTCTCTTGCAAAATTTCCCTCAAGAAGCTGCAAGAAGCATCAAATGATTGTTAGCAATTACAATTAAGAAGTAAAACAACCCTGGCATACAGAAGAAAAATATCTAAACATCTATGCTTATTTAGTTATGGTATTTATATGCCACATAACTCCCCTCAAGATTATACACTGCATTTTTGGAAAGAATTAGCTTTGAATGTCTATTAATCGTTTAAAAAGCAGATGGTATTAGGAGATAAACATTGCAATAAAACAGTAAACACATGTTTTAATGTTCAGGAATTGAAGTCTGCACTGCAGAAGACATGAGGCCAGTTGAGATGTAACAGTCCTTGCCTTTTTTTTGTGCCCATGTTTTATCCTTGCTTCTCCCACACTAATTTCTAATTCATACCAATAGTGCCTTTAGGCATTACTAGTCAGCATCGTTTTAAATGCTTCCAAGTATGAGTATGAAAGTCATTTTACATGTGGCCATATTACGTTTTACTCATTCTATCTGAATGAATTCTGAATTCTGCAGTTCAACTGCAGAAAATAAAAAATAATCCAACTGAGTTAGGGGTCTGAGGCTTGAGCCACCCATTCCTCAAACATGATCATGAGATTAGATTAGCCACAGTTTATTCAGGTTAAGACATAACTAAATTATTGTGAGTTAAAAGTGAAAGCTGCCAGAGGAGAGGGAATATAAGCATTTTACAATAAACATTTTTGTTGTTGTTGTTGTTCCTAGTGTTTTTCTGCAAGTGTAAGGTTTGCTTTTATCAGATCAACCCAGTACTGATCCATTTGGTTGGAATTGACCAACCGACTTATTGCCTAAGCCTGACATTGTGGGCTGAGAGACAGCAACTGAGAGAGAGCAGGCTTTCATGAGTAAGATAGACTAAAACTCAGTCTCCTGGTTTCTAACCTGGAGCCTTAACCACTGGACCAAACTGGCTCCCACTAAGGTAAGCAATATAACTTTAGGTATAGATTAATATAACTATGTTCATTATTATGCCAATAAGATCTCCCTTTTGCAGGCTTATTTTGTTTTGAATAGTCTTTGTAGGACCACTTTTTCCCCAAATATTTTTTTTCTTAACCTTCTTCATTTCCTTATAAAAGCCAATGAATTTATATCTGAAGTTGCTATAAATCCTTAACATTTTTTAAGGTAAATATCGATTTCTTCTATTAGTTGGGTTATCATGTATGAATGAGGAAGTCCTACGAATGTTAGAAGTGAAATCTACTGATATGTACTTGCTATAAAAAGCTGCTCTAAATTTAAACCAAATAAAATCTCTTTTTTGTTAAAACTACTGGTCTACTATGTTTATTCTGTCTAACTATTAATATGAAAGACATCACACTGCTTAAAAAGAATAAACGTAAGTTCAAAAATCCATTCTTCTTCAGACCATAGTATTAGAGCAAACATTAAATAAGTATCCTCTGATTAACATATATTAAAACTGCTAACAATAATGGAAGTTTTAATTAAATGAACTGATGGCAGGCACAAGATTGAGAATGCTGTTATACTAATATTTTTTGTATAATTTGGATAATACAACATGAACTACTTATAATTGCAAAAAAAGGATAGCCATGTATATCATATATACGGGGGACAGATAATAATATAATCAGCAAATACAAAATACACATAACATTATAGAGCAAAATATATCAAAACAGTTGTTGAAGACAATAGTAATGTGTTTTATTTTTATTTTTCATCTACTAGTGCATATAATCAAATGCTATTTATTGTTCCAGAGCTAAGGATTTTTAAATAAAATACTGTTTTACCATGAAAAAATAAAACTGAGTATAATCAAAACAAATTCCATTCTGAATTATATTGAGAAAACTTAGTCAAGACCATATCTGCAATAATTTTGTATCAGACGAGGAACATGTAATGAGCATGTGTGTGTGCGTATGCGCACATGTGTGTGTGCAGATATTAGATACACAGACATACCACATTCTGGTATTCATGCCCAGGCTTTTTCCAAAACATATTTCACAATAAAAGCATAACTCTCTAATTAGTCCGATAAAATTAAGTTTAATTTAATTGGGAAGGGGAAAAAACAAAAGTGATTTTGCACAACATTGTACTACTATGGAAAAAGGACCTGTTTTGGGTCATAGTAGAATTAGTATGTAGACAACAAGGTGGAAAGCTAGACCTCTTCCTAAGATATAAGAGTAGATGGAAATATATAATATATAATAAATTAAGACCCAAGAGAAAAAAACTGTTTGGAACAGTGAAAAAACGTCTAGCACAATCCTCATACTTTAGACAAATTAAATGAAATACAGCTGTGAATAAATTCTCATCAATTACAACAGGACTATTTTAAAAATGGCTAATTTTAGATTCAGCTACCACTAAACATAAAGCACAGAAACATATGTAATGTTTGGATAGCCAATTTGGGGTGACTTTTTTAATACATAAAAAAGCAGTCTTCAGGCTCATAATGATGCATGTACATATTTGCCTGGAGGGAAATAAACAAGATTATAATTAATTGTATAGAGGTAAAAAGAAAAAAAAAAGGTATCACTCAATTCCAAACTGATTCTGGGTGGTAAAATAAACCAAAACAATACAACCAACAGAATAAAAACAAAATATAATAATTATGAAAATGAAGAAATAAAAGAAATAAACAAGAACCGATGGAAGATCTGTATAACCACACCCACAATCAATCTGGCAGGAGCCTCTAACACCCTAAGCCAGAGGTAGGCTGTGCTGGCTCAGGAATTCTGGGAGTTGAAGTCCACGAGTCATAAAAGAGCCAAGATTGCCTACCCCTGCCCTAAGCCTTTAAGGCAGTGGTTCTCAACCTTTTTAATGCCGTGACCCCAACCGGTCGTAAGTCGAGGACTAAACCGGTCGTAAGTCGAGGACTAAACCGGTCGTAAGTCGAGGACTAAACCGGTCATAAGTCAAGGACTACCCAAACGGTTGCAAGTCAAGGACTTTCCCTGCCCAGGAGCGCCGCGCATGTGTGGTTCCGCCCCCTGCGCCGGCCGAGGCGTAGCTGGCAAGCAGCAGAGATGGAGCAGGCCGACCACCAGCTGGCCCAGTCCAAGGGAGGTAAGGCACCCGCCGGAAAAGGGGAAAAAATGGAGGACAAAAAAAATGGCGGACAAAAAAAATGGCAGACAGCCTTGCTTGGCGACCCCCGTAAAATGGTCGATCGACCCCAAATGGGGTCCCGACCCACAGGTTGAGAACCACTGCTTTAAGGCTTTCCAGAATGCCTACAGAGTGGAAGCCACATGGAGAATCTTATTTCAGAGGGCAGGCACTGTGACAGAGAAGGGGTGGAGTCTGTCTGTTTCTGGCGCCCAAATATGACATTGTTTAACTGAAAAGACCCAGAATGACCAGCTCTGTCAGACTGAACGAACCAGGCTGATTCCAAAGGAAATAGGCTTTCCCTCATGTAATGAGGCCCAATGCCACATAGGGTTTTATAGGTCATAACCAGCACCTTGCATTTCTCTCAGAAGCATACTGGTGTCACATAGGCACATAAAGATCTGCCTATTATTGCTGATAACACTAAACTCTGGACCAATTGAAGCTTCTGAGTGGGCTTCAAGGACAGCCGTACGCAAAGTGAATTACAACAATCACACAATGAAGTGACTAGGACATTAGTGGCTGTCTGAAGTACCTTCCAATCTAGAAAAGTGGACAATTGGCATACTGGATGAAACTATGCAAAGGCCTTTCTAGCCAAAGGAACCACCTGTATCGACTGCACACCACTCTAAAACCATTTCTTTATCTGCTCATGCTTTTAATATAATAAATCAGACTGGCTAATGAAGAGGAGGGAAATTCACTGTGCAAAACTCTAAAGATATTATCACCAACTATAAATTAGTAACATAATTGGGGGTTTTTTTTCCAAAAAGAAAAGAAAAGGCAGTATGATACTGCTGCTTGCTAATAGCATCAGCTCACTAATTACTATCCATGATTCATTTGTAGCATTCCAAGCCTGATTAATGTCAGGTCAAGTTTAACATATGACAAGGTTTATTACTAATGTTTTGCTATCCCACAGCTTGACAGTCTTTCACAGTGAGCGCCATCTGTTACATAAGGGAATAAAAGTCAGAGCACTGCTAACTCTGAGTTGCTCTAGGTCAGTATGGTATGTTTTCAAAGCTGTCCAGGGCAATTAGGCTAATAATATTTGGTAGTAATTACTAACTTTAAAAGCTACTCATATGATCATATACTTTATTTCATTTGTAGCAATACTCCTATAACATGGCCTTAAAACAATATTACTAATCATCCGTATCTTATAACTGCCAGGCAATTATAATGTGCTACACAGCGTTAAGTTTTACCATCAGCAATTAATCCTAAATTCAAGTCACAAAACTGGAAACAGTGCAGCAATACCCATGGCTCATTAAATTTGAACCCAAGGTAAAATACTCTATGCCCAATACATCACCACCTATGGATACTCCAGCCTCTGAGTTTACATCTCAAAAACCTATTAATAGTTAGTCTTCAGTTAACAAACCTAATTAGGATTGGAATCTCCATTGCAAAGCTATGCTGTCATTAAATGAAATATTACAGGACCACACTGCTTAGCGACAGCAGTTCTGGTAGTCCTGGTTGCAGTCATTAAGTGAGGCTCTCATGCTTCTTATGCCTTATCCTGCTTGTCTCTGCTTCAATTTCCCCCACCAGCCTATGGGCACTCTCATCTTTGCCCTTTTGTCCTCCCTGCACTCCGCCACCTACCTTAACTGCCCCCACCATCCATGGAAGATCTTTGCAGTCTTCTTTCTCCCACTGCTGAGGGGGCATTCCCAGCTGAGGCAATGCTGGCCCTTTGTGTGGCCTTTCCAAAGTAATGTTGGAGTGGACACATGAGGGTCTCATAAAAGGCAACAGCTGCCTCAGTCCAATGTATCTCATCAGCAGTGGGAAGAAAAAGAACTCAGTCGGAGTGAAAGATGTAGGCGACAGA